AACTAGATCGTACCTTCACGTACGCCCGTAGTCCTCAAAGCTACTGGGGGCTATGTAGAAATACGGCCTCCGATCAATCTAAAATATTAAGATCAAATAAGATAACACATTGGTTTTTATTTGTATTTAAAAGAATTTAATACAAGTTCTTTTTCCAATATTTCCTAAGTGTTCTAAATTCACTTTGATGGCTCCAATAGCCTGAGTATTTGGTATGACTCATTTACTTGGGACCTATTTAAGACGATAGTAGATGTAGGATATTATAAACAAATTTTATGATCTCTGCTCTACTACTTACAGGTTTTGGTCTTCCCGCCAATTTCCAAAATCCAATGTCTTTTTTTTCTTCTTTCCCTTTTTTTCAGATTGAACTTTATTTGTATTAGATAAGGTATTAACTTTGACTTACGTTCTTATGTCTATCTACAAATTAGACATGTGGTCATGAACAATTAATACTTCTAGTGAAAATTATTCAATAAAGAACAGCTAGAGGTACGTCATGTGTGATCGAGGATATTAAGGCTCTTACCAAGAGGCAGTCCCGATCATTCTTACACAAGCTACCACTTTTAAATCCTAACTGACTTTTTAAAACATAGAAATATCCTTCGAAGTTTACAGTGATTGTACGGGGTTGAGCTTTGTAGAACGGTATGCGACAGGAAAGAGTCGGTCGATAGCATTGATACTATAACCTTCAGTGCGGGGGTCAAGTATAGGTTTAGGGTTTGTATGGATTGTTGTAGGGCACGATAGTTGTAGGGCCCGAGCAAGGAATACCGTTCTCTTTCATTAAGAGTATCTTTGGCAGATCGACGAGGGCGTTTATGAGGTGGTAATTGTAGGTTCCATTCAATAGAATGGCTCGGGCGGCGGCTCGAGAATGATTTAGTAGGTAAAGATTGTTTGAGGCCTTGTCGTGGAGAGGTCGAATTGGGTTGCTGAAGTGCTTTGTTAGCGGCCAAAGCTTGGTCAGCATCTTCTAACCGTTTAGCGTTAAGAGGCTGGGACCATCCTTTAGGGAATGAAGAAGGAATTTACTCGGAACGGGGAATACGGACGAATAGGCCGGAACCAACGCCTATTGGGCATGCGTCAACAAAAAGGTGCAAATGGTAGGAGGAATCGAGAGTGACGAGCATTATGGTACCGTTGATAGCTTCAAGGATTAGTCGATAGACAGCATGGGTAGCAGCCGTGCAGCCGTATATACAAAAGGTTCGTTATTCTTGGTCAAGTCAGTTAATGGCGCCAGTATAACGACCATGTTAGGAACATATTGCGACCATCAATTCATGGTGGCACAAAAAACTTCAATCGCATGTTTGTCTTACGGCGAGCGAAGAGTATAGATGGCTTTCAGTCGGTCTTGACTAATCGTTGTATAATTATGAACCGTATTACGACTATAATATACTTTTATAGTGTCACGTAGCAGACAAAGGTGTGTCTTTGAAGCTCTTAGCCGTATGCCAGCCTTAAAGTAAATGCGTGCATATGTAAGCAAATGGTCCCAATGTCGGAGGAGGGCACGTGAACCCCAATGTGACATAGCTCCATCATCGACGAAATGTTTGAGCACATCTCTTAGGTGACGAAAAGTTTCATCCATAATGGATTGCAGCATAAATGTCATCATTTTACCGCCGAATACACCCGCAATAGGGTGCCAAACATCGCCCTTGGAAGTGATCTAGGTAAGATAATCGCGGGTGCTTTCAGCATATTTAAGCTGATTGAAGCTGCAGGCTATATCTATGGTGGAATCAATATCTCCACGTCGGATATGGTCCATGCACCCCTGTTCTGTGGGTACAGAGTAGGGATCTACACGGAAATTTGCATTGTTAACTTTAAAATTTTGGCAATATCTTGCATCTTTATTAGATGTGGGTTTAACCCGAGGGTTCATTCGTGCGAGTACCGCACTTGACATCCACGGGCTGAAGAAATTGCCTTTCTCAATGATGCCGCGTTTATAATCTCTAGAGCATATCTCCTCTTTCCAGTGTATTAACTCGCGATTCTTTTGTTGGTATATTATACGGCGCGGAACAGGGTTATCGACTAATGCAATCTCATAGCCGTGGACGTAGTTACGGTTGTCGGGATCGTATACAATACGATTAAATGCCACTTTAAGTTCAGAGATTTGTTCGTCTGTTTTATGAAGTAATAGGGCGACACGATCAACGCCCGACCAATCATATGATTCAACATCGCCAGGAGTATCACGGCATTTGCGATGGAACTCGACGACGGCTGCATCATCAACTACAGCTGGGATTAATACACCAACATAAGGTACAAGTGCAGTGGATGTAGTAGCCTGTGGTTGCAGCTTAAGGCCGAAGCGAGGAGGATTGTACGAACAGTCCCAGTAGGTATTTAAGAGATTTTCCCTCTGAGCAATAAAACTTAATAAAATATCACATCCCGCTGAGATTTCAAAAGTAACTAAGAAGTGTAATTCAGTCGTTTCATAGTATTTAAGGGAACCGTTTTGGTCATATATTTGAAGAATACTAGTAGTAACTTGCTCCGTTGGAGCTTGTAAAGATCTACCATCAAAGATGATCATGTGGACAGGCGCAATAGATACTGGGGTAAGGAATTCTTTTTGAAAAAGTGTTTTATTTATAAGGTTGGGTATGGCGCCATCATCGGCGTAGCATAACACTTGTGTTGATTGATAGAATGCAGTAACCACTGGCCCTTCCTGATTTCAATTGAGATCTAATGTAAGAGCATTGACAGAATCGTCATTTTGAGGACAGTCACGTGTGACATGACCTGGCTCGTTGCAGCCATAGCACGTGACGGATGGTGACTGTGAACGAGAACGCCCAGGTGTAGATGGGAGTGAAGGTAGAGTTCGAGAGCGTGAGGAAGGACGGGTGCGATCTTCCGATGAACGGTCAGCGCGGGAGGCACGGGGAGAACTTGGGGCCGTGGGGACCGAATCAGATACTGTCGAGTTAGTTAACTCAAAGCGGCGATTTCCAGGACGAGATCGTTGGAAATTGTTGGGGACTACACGGTCACGGTTGCCTCGATTGTCATAATATGAGTAGTGGTTGTTGTTTCCTGCGGATGGTTGAGTCAATTTCTTTTGATGGGATTCTTCGAGAACAGCCGCTGCGTAGACAAAACCAGCATGACGGTGCAAGGTTGTAAAGGATAACTTCTCAAGATTATCCAAGCATCCAGAAAAGAAGTCATCAATTCGTTGATGAATGTTGTCAGCAACTCGCTCAAGAACGTCGGGATTCCGACGTAGGATCTGGTACAAACGTGTCATGTAAAATGGGTCGTTAAGCATGACAAGGTAAGCATACAAGGATCGGCAGTTCCGGTTGGCTCCCTCATTGAGATTGTCAAGGAGCATCTGGTCTGTGATGTGAGAGAGTTCAGCCGGCTTGAGTCTGGAAGCGCTTTCGCGCCAAGCACGTGTTTCAGGGTCACGAAAGTACTGTTCAGGGTGCTCAGGTAGCCATTGGCGGGCATTAAAGTCCCATACAAAGCCGTCTTTCCAATTGTCGACTTCCCCAGCAGAATTGCAGACATCGCGATGATCACGATGGTTCCACTTTTCATTGAAACGCGACCATCGAAAAGGGCCTACCGGTTTGGGTGGATGCTTGTCAGACGTAGTCTCGAGGCGAGTGTCAACATCACCTTGACGATGCGATCTGCATTTATCACGATCACTGAGAAGTGTAGCTCGCAACTGAGAAGCTGTGGGCGCAGGTAGCGCTGGACGGAAAGCCTTAGCTCCAAGCATGAGATGGGAATTAGGGCCATATGCCTCAGAACTGAGGGATTCAGTATTCTCTAGTAAATAATGGGCTTTATTAACCAAAACACGGGGTCCAATAAAGCCTACATCACGTACATACTGGATTCGTTTGAATGGGTTGTTGTTTTCTCGACCTTTACGGTCTTGGGAAAGACGGTAAAGACGAGCATCTTGTCCCTGCTTGAAAAACAGGTTAGCCATAGGGCCAACGTATTGACTTTAGATAGTCATTCCTCTGGTGATGTCGTGTTGGACATATGCGGGGCTCGATCAGTTGCCAGAAACCTGGGTCGACGAAATTCATCAGCCGGTCGAGATGAGGGGCACGACCAGAAGTGGTCAAACGTTGCTAATAGAGCTGCTGAAACTGCTTCTCCTTCGTGAAGTTAGCAACTTTTTTTAGCCCAAGAGTAAATGGAAAGCTCAACTTTTAGGCGGAGAACCCAAGGGAGGGATGAATCGTTGGAGTTGTTATTATTGTTTCGAACAATGTTTGAATAGTTGTTGAATCGTATCTACCCTTTCTGAACTGTGATATGCAACCTTTAAGTCGATTGTATAGGCCGCCCAAATCTAACACGTAATGTTCACACGTTAGTCTTTCAGGTAATCTTAGTTTATTGACATAAGGTCGGTTGCAATGGATCACAGTGAGAAAGTGAACCAAAGCAACCGATCATTCAGTATTTATAGTTCTGAGAACGATCAGCGTCGATCCAGTGGGTCACACGAAAGTGGCGCGCCAAATAACCAACGGACGAGGTTTTAAGAGTCAAGGTTTCCCCCCCGAGTTATGGCCAAAACCACTAGGTTCTACACCACTCTCAAATTCTACAATGAAAAATCAGCTTTACACTCTAATATTGAGTTTCCTTACCTTTTAAAGAATGCTTACCGATGGCACTGATTCACTTTTCGCCCTAAGTGCTAACCCAAGAACAAGTGCAACAGTCTCGTTTCACATATATTCGCAGTTTCGATTTGTAGGGAGACACAAGATTCATGTGCACGGCTATCATTTGGTTCTGCAGACACAATGCCACACGCAAGTGCGTTCATTATATCCGATTAACAGGATGAAAATAGTGTTCACATTCCGAGGTGCAATATCCACTCCCTGACAATCAGATAAAAAGATCAATGTATTTAGACGACAATCATTCAGAACTTTCACATTGAGAAGTGTAATATATATTGACGCCGCCTTTACCAGATTGAATGAGGTACTCAAATGTATCCAACATCAGCTGCGACGACAGCACGAATTTTAATTAATATTATGAGAAACTTGCAACGGACGTCCGTTCCTCAGTTGGCTACCAAAACAATGTGTAATATACCCCTCCTAATTCGGATTGATGGTAGAGCAGCTTTCATGTCCAAAGCAATTCGCGCACGGCATAGTAGAACCCCTTCTGCTCGAGAATGGTGGAAAACAATATCGGTTCGTAGCATGAGTCAACTTCAATGATTGATACCGGAATGGTAGAGGGATGCTACACTAAAAAACACAGCTAATTATGGCTATGTAATTTTCTCAAGTTGAAATATATTTATATGGCACCGAAATCAGATGCTAGTTATACATTCAAAACATCCATACCCATCACACCGTGTCTGCATCTGAAGGAGGCCAAGATGTCACTGGCATCGTAGGTTCGGAACAGAAGGCGTCACCTCTCGAATCCAAAAATTGGCGCACGTTACATGATAAACTGAACCATTGATGTGAGCTACTGCTGTGTTGGGCTGATACGAGTAATTAGTGGGCTCAGCGCTATGGTCCTCTTCACCCTGTACAACATTATCATTCTCACTTACTGGATCAGTACTCTCTTTGTTTGATGCGTTCGTAACCCTCACATAACACAAACATATGGCACAATTGAATACTTCTTTACCATCGCGAAGCACATTTCCGACATTGGCAGACTCGGGTTGAATACTCGACGATGGTTTGGCAATCCCTTCATATTCCACTTCGTTAACTTGAGTAAGACAGATCCCCTCAACATGTGGGATAAGGCCCTGCCAAACACGATCTATATCTTCCATAAGACGACAACAACCGACCATATCCTCATCAACCCCTGCTTGGATCCGACGCGAAAGCATGTAAATCTCGGCGATACCTATCAAGTAGTTCCGCGTCTGGGGCGCTTCCATGACCTAAAATGATTGAGAGGGTTATGTAAAAAAAATGTTTTAGATAGCTCAAAAGATAGGTCACATCAAGATACGATTTCGTCGTCGGCAAATAGACGTCGAGTTTCGAAGACTATACAACAGAAACCATCTTATCTCTCACCTCTTCAATCGTGATCTTTGAGGCCGTGTGCTGCATACGGTCCAATGTTCGCTGCGCAGTAGTGAGAACCGCCATACACCTCGTTAGAAGTCGTGACCACTTGGACTCGCGATCATCAACTGTCGGCGACAAGGAATCACGACTGCAGATACGAGTAAAGGCAAATAAGTGGTGTTCAAATTTGTGCATATAATAATTTTACAGAGGATTGTACTCTATACGTGCATTGATGTGATTTGAGGCGACAGATGAATGTAGAGTAGTTATTTGAAATTGGTAAGTCGCTTAACTACAAAATATAACCTACTCGTGAATCGTTTCGGAAGGATTCTCACTTTCACTCGCACTACGGAAATAGCTGTAGAGATCTCCATCAGTTGGTGGAGGTGTCGCAATTCTACTTGTGTTCTGGCCTGGTGCCACTTTCCGCACGAGAGAGGGTTGTCGCCCATGATCGATAAATTTGTTCTTGTTCTCATCAATCTGTAAAGCGAATAAGTGATGTATAAACTAGCAAGCTCAGCAACCAATTTTAAAGAAGGCGTAAAAGCAGGCGAATGTGTCTGCTTGCTTGCTCTTCATTTTGCCGAAGGAAATGTACACCACAGAGGTTGTGTACTAGAAATCTTCAGTGTGTCACATTCATTAAACGTACCCCATGTTCATGTTCCGTGGCTTTCTTCTCGGCCACGAGTGTATCCAGGTCAGTCATAAATGTAGAGAGCGCGTCGTCATAATTTACGCTTCCTGTTGCGTGCTCTGCAAATTCCCTGGCCTTGATATATGCTGTCCTCCAGGCGAAATACAATTGTTTTGTTATAATGCGAGATATGGGTAAAAATCTGGGAACCACGGCAGCTTGTGATTGAAAGCCATTAATAAAGCCAGGGGGATAAGGTGACGGTAAAACTATCGATCATAATTAACAACAAACCTTTTCTGATTTAAAATCGATAACACACCTGGCGAGTCTTCGGAGAACTTTCGTATAACAGCTGGACTGCTTTCGGGTTGTTCAATCTCGTCGCGTTCATATTCCTTTTCGTGAGGGTCGCTCTGGTCACTAGCAACGGTCATTGCCCGTTTTGCATCTGTTGTGACCTTGTCAACGTCACTTACGGGTGTCTCCAGGTCAACCTCATTGTGATCCTCCTTTATAGACAGGTCAAATTTACCACTTGCTTCGTTTCCTTTCTTATACTTAGATTGGACGTCATGATCCGGTGCTGCGGGGTCGTGACTATAAGCTTGCGTTGAGAAGGCCATCGCTATGCCCATACCTACCGAAACTCGAGAAAGAAAATAATGGATAAGTGTAGCATAGAATCATGGCTAATATCGAGAGTGCCTGTTATGTTTTGCTTAGGCAACAGAACAATGTAAAGTTAAACCAGAATGTTTGAATGAGGACAACGATACCTACCGGGTGCTAGGTTTTCCTCGAAATTGGTGTCAAATCCGCCGAAATCACCGAAGTCATCATCGTTATTGCGGTCGTCCTCATCACCATTAGTAAATGAAGCAAAGAGGTCCTTGGCCGCATTGGGCGTTCCCACGGACACCATAATCGTCCCAGTTGATACATGATCAAGATGAGCGGGCGTGCTGGATTTTGTCGAACCAATTTGAGCATTCGCCACCTCATAAAGATCTCCATTGATGCTATCACCAGGCAAACCTCTCTCTGCTGTTATTTCACGTTCCGATCGCTCATGCCCTCGACTATACAACGAAGGATTGAATACCACCGATTCATCATGGGTAGGGAGTTCGTTCGAGTTAGAACTGATATTGGGTCTGTCCTCCGATGTTTCCGCGAGCCCGACACCAAAAGATCCACCGAAACTATAACCATAGTCGTCACCATCGTCATCAATTTCATCGGCCGGTCTAAATCCCAGATCAAGTGAGTTTCTCACTTTTGTTGAAGAGGGTGCTGCCCATATATCTAGATCAGGGCCGGCGTCAGAGCCCTCAGGCACACTTTCGTGTGGAACGACGTGTGCGTGAGGAAGTATTGAATTGCTTGCAGTATTCTTTATTATTGTGTGGCGGACACTGCCAGAGCCCTTCCTTCGCCTAGTACTTTCACCAGTGCTTGCAAGTCGAACCAGACCGGGGTCTATTCGGCTAGCCTCGTCATCGCGTTTGAAGTAGTTTGTGTGATCCGAATTTTCCGCCATCTCACTCTCGAACTCACCAAATGCATCATCCCCATCCTCTACTTTTGTTCCTGTGATTGGCTGTCGCGCACGAGCCCAGTCTACAAAGTCATTGCTATTCTCGTTCGGGGCCGCTACCTGCGTCGAGGACCGGCTACTCGGGTGCAGCCCGATTATGGGAAGAACTGCACCATCATTCGATGTTGATTTTTCAACAAAATCACCAAATGCCCGTCGACCATCCCGGTCACGTTTAGTTTGATCGCTATCTTGAAGAAGATCCCTTTTGGCACCCTCGAATCTATTTCCTTTATGACAAGCAGCAGAAGGACCGTCCAATGCTTCTCTATCTGCCTGTCGCCTCGCCTCGCGGTCGACTATCTTATCTCTCTTCGTCACTGCATGACTCCTCTCGACTATCGTCTCCTCGTCTTTGTGTGGCGGCATGCCTTCGCCCCGCTCTCGCTCAGCTCTACGTGCCCGTTCTCTCTCAGTTGGTGTTTGTCTCGCATTCCGCCGATTTTCTCTCGATGCCGAATTTTGTCGCGAATTCGCATTCTCGACAGGTAAATCGGGACTTGTAACTCTGTCGATTCCTTCAGTAGCCAAAGTTTCCAGGTGCAGTTGGGGTGGAGCTGGCATGTGCATTTTCCCCTCCGTGTGCAGATTTATTTTTAAAATCGGAGCTGCAATCTTATGTACCTCTTTCTGATGGTCGCCGCTGTTCTCATGCACACCTCGAATAGCGGGTGGTCGAACAGCTTTCCCATTACCTGACGAGCGTTGCTTATCCCTGGAACCTGCGTTTTTATCCATTATTTCCGTGCTTACCCTGTGCCGAGCGAAAAACCCGCCCCCGTCGTCCCTTCTGTCCCATTTATCAGCTACACCATCCATTCCTCTCCGAATTCTGATATCCTTCTCGTGTCCGTCGCCCCCGTCGTCCCTTCTGTCCCATTTATCCGCTACACCATCCGTTCCTCTCCGAATTCTGATATCCTTCTCGTGTCCGTCGCCCCCGCCATTGCGTTCTCTCCGTGTTCTCTCATATGCTCGTTCATGACCATCAACTCTTCTGTGTCTCGCATCCTCTTGTTTCTCATAGCGGTCTCTGTAATTTGCATCACTACGTCTCGAACGTTGTTCTGTAGCTCGATGATGATGCCGACTCTCCCGATCTCTGTCGTTATTTTTGTGGCGATCTCCTTGTGAACCTCGACGACTGCTCGGTTCATCCCCTTCAAAATCACCGAAATCATCAGCTTGATCGATGTCCCGCGTTCCACTATTTTTCTCACGTACATTTGACCTCTCTTGCTCTTCTAAAGCTTGGGTTTGCTGCTGGTACAAAATCGCAGCAGCATGTTGTTGCTCGTCCGCCATTTTTTGCGCCGCGAACTGTGCCTGTAGAGCTTTTTGTAAGGCCTCTTCCTTGGCAACTAAAGCTGCTGCCTCCGCTTCGGCCTTCTCGCGTTTAAGTGTTTCTTCATCTTTGAACATGTCACTCATATCGGCGGTTAGATTTCCCCAGTTTGCCGACTTCACCGACGCTTGATGAACTTCTTTGTACCCCCCTATGCGTCGATTGATCTCCACCTTTTGAAATCCTTGTTTGGGATCCTTTTTGTCGGCTCCCGACCCAAAATTTAGCGACCTCTCCAGAAGTAATTCAACTTGGCACTTGGGGTCAGGCGGGATGGACCCTGAATTGAAAGTATTGTTCTCTTGCTGTAACTGATACTGTTGTTGTGAATTGTTTGTTGGCTGTGGTGAAGCAGTTGTCGATTTCGAAAAGCTGAATTCTGCCCATTCTTGATTCCCATCGAACAGCGTACCAGTTGGAGGTTTACTCGTTGGTGTCGGAGACGCACCACTAAAGCCACAGTCCCCGAAGCCGTTGTCAGTGACCGTTTGTTGTGGTACATTATATTGTGGCTGCAAATTTTGTTGCGTTATTAGCTGGTGTTGTTGCTGCATTGGCTGTGCCTGGGGTGACTGATGCTGTTGCTGTATTGGTACCACTCGATGATGAGATGATTGACCTGGTATTGAACTGATTCCTCCCAGAAGATTTCCACTACCGTCAGATTTAGCTCCAAATATACTGTCAAGAGGATTAGCCTATTTACAAAAGAAAAACAGATTAGGATAGATATCAGAGCACCAACATAAGGTACCGGGAGAGGTCCGGAATGAATGTCATCGCAGACACCAGATATTTTGCGACTTATCTGTCAGCGACATATCAAACAGGACCTACAACTACCAGCCAAGCCTGTGGCTTTATAGATACAGTATCCGACTAGCAAGCCCCCAACAAGACTATTGCAATACAAAGTTTGGAACAATCCAGTTGCTTTTATCAATAATTTTAATCTGTATATCTAAGCTGCAAACGAATATGCCAAACACTGACTTTGACTAATATAGCCAAACAAATTATCGATTCGAAACTTATTCGTTTACATAAACTTCATGCATATGTTCCTATACACATACAGGATTATACATGTACGAAAAAAAAGACAATTCAGAAATATCCTTAGATAAAGACATATACATATAGACGTACATACATCTACTTGCGTATGGGTCCGTTTGTGTATTTGTTTGCACGTTTTTTTTTGGTCGTCAAGATATATATATATATACATGATACATATATATATATATATATATATATATTATATATATATATAGTAGATATA